GGCCACTAATTATAACTGAATATGTGGTTTTGATTAGGACACAAGCTTGCATGTTATAATTATTGTTTGAGAAGTTGTGCTGCATTTATGTAAGAAACAGAGAACATGGTACATCAACTTCAGTGAAGCTTCTGACAACCAGGGCTTTTCTTTCAGAATATGCAGCTTGTCATAAACAGTACCTTGGCTTGAATGGGGAAGATACTGACTTGGAGTGTTTAAGTTGTGAATGGTGATTTGTAGAGGGGTAGCAATGAGACTGTTCAGTATGGTGGCCACAGGAGAGACCAATGTTTGTTATCATATTTGGTCATTTCCATTTATGGCTACAGAAATGGGAAACTTTCTGTCAGGGCAGTAAAGGACACCAAACACAGTGTTCCTAATACCCGATCTTCAGTCTTGATAGTCATGTTGATAAAGATTATCTCTGTAACTTATCACCATTACTGAAAATGTAAATTTTTAAAAAAAGCAAAACCCATCCAGTGCAAGACCCGAGACTTAGGATAACAACAGACAGATTGTTACATGCTAGGAGAGTAATTTATTAGTGCAGGACGTTGAAACCTTCACATTGCTCAGAGAAAGTCAGTTCTCAGAACCAAGAAGTTTTGGCATCAAGGAGACTATTAATAAAAGATGTTTTCGTAGCCATGGATCCAAACCACATTCCTCTAAAATTAGTCCCTGGAAATAAACAGAAAGCAAGAACAGCTCCTAGAGAAGAAATCTTAACAAACCAAGAAATCTTAACAAACCATGTACCATGGGAGTACAGCATGGAAAGACAGAAGGGAACATGCAATGTGTGCTGTGGGAAATGACATAAAATAATGCATAGTAGTAGATACTCTTCAAATTCAGGCAAATACACTCTGAATGGAGTTAATAGTGTGGCACAAGTCTCTGTTTCTCTGTGTGATCTCTTCTGTGATCAAGAGACAAAAGAGTGGGCCACTGCTCCCCAGGTGACCCTCTGATGATATAGAATTGTGAACTCTACTCTCCTTCCAATGGAATAACCAGGGGAGACCCATGGCAGAAGTGGCTGAGCAGTATTGAAACAGGAAGTTTTCAGGTTCCTGGCAGGGCCAGCTAGGTTAGCAGAGAAATGTGTCCTACCAATACTCTGCTCGTCAGGAGGTTATCTCCAGATTCTTTCCTCCAATCTGTCTGATTTTTATTCACCAACAATCCCAACACGTTCAATAGAGATAATATCCACTTATTGTACAGATGTTAACTTCAGGAAAGCCCCCAGCAGATTGACAATAGAGGTAGCCTCGAATACTCCCTTTGTGGGCCCTGTTTGTCCTTGTTAGGATGTCATGAGAGTGTTACATCTAGAGTGGAACTCTAGAGGGATGCATCCATCCCAAGTAGTGTTTTCAAATGAACTCAAATCAGCAGTGTATCCCTGAACCAACCTATCACTGATGTCCTGTGTTTTCCCATATGTGTGTTCCCCATAGAATGTCAGGTCAACTTACTTTGTGACCTTCTGAGTGTATAAAGCAAATTACACATACCAATACAAGTCCTACTTTAGCTTTGTGCATAAATTTTATATCGTTTATACATTCCTTCACTTTCATTTTTGCTTCAACAGCCTCTTCAGGAGCATCATATTTCTCAAGTTCCACCCGTAGTGCTGCCTCATTAAACAATATGAAGATGAAGCTTTCACGCACGATAGCTTTGCAGACCTTGCCAGCATTAGCTGAAAAGTGTAAGGAGAAAGAGAAAGAGTTACAGTTAACCAATTTTGCTTTGTTTAGTTTTGTTTTCTGGGACAGGGTTTCTCTGTGTAGCCCTGGCTGTCATGGAATGCACACTGTAGACCAGGCTGGCCTGGAACTCACAGAGATCTGCCTGCCTCTGCCTTCTGAGCGCTTGCATGTGCCACCACCACCTGGCTACTTCTTATTTTTAATTAATATTTTTGTATGAGCCTCTGTGACTTGAGATGGCAGATGAGAAAGGATATACAGTATATTGTGACCCACGGCTATGACTTCCTCAAGATCACAGAGCAAGCAGTGCTTGCTCTCTATTTTTGTATTTTAGTCCACACCCATGACTCCCACAGAGTCTATGGCTTGCTGAAATTCTTCTTTCTAGCCTTAAAAGTTTGAGGTTTGACTAAATCTTCAGTAGCATTTTTATGACTCTTGGATAGTTGAAAAGAAGGCTTTTTTTTGCATTATCTGACTTGACATAAATAACAGAATTAGAATTTTACCAAGAGACGGGAAAAGTAAAAAGCAAGTAGATTGGTTATGTGTAGAATGGTAACATTTTGAATCGGAAAGAATTAGGACATGGCATCAAGTACAGTTCAAGGTTAAAAGCTAAAGTTACAAGACTTGATCAGGTTTGATGCACAGCAGAGCTTATCTGGGAAGTCTGGGAAAGCTTTGCTTTTGTACAGTGATGCTCAGATTACTTCTAGGTGTCAGTTTCCTCTGACACCCTCCGGTATGGATTCTAAAGATCTATGATGGATGTTTGTGTAGAACCAAAGAAATCAGCTTTCCTAATTCAGGTTCCACCTTTCCCTTCAAGGTTCTTAAGACAAAGAAAGAAAGAAAGAAAGAAAGAAAGAAAGAAAGAAAGAAAGAAAGAAAGAAAGATAGAAGCAAACTAAAAAGCAAATCTCCAGAGGTTGCCTGGGCTGGCCTCAGACCCAACTTCCTCTTGTCTCAACCTCCTCCAGCTTGGATGGCAGGATGTGCCACTGTAGCCAATTTTTCTATGGACATAACATTACTGTACTTAGGAAGTGCCTGAACAGGGTCTGATGTGAGACTTAAGCAGATTCCACCAGCCTGTAGGGAAATGTGGTAGGTGAGAGGATAAGAGGTAGCTAGGCAGACAGGAGGAGATACAGAAAGGAAAGAGTAACTACTCAGGAAACTTGGTTCACTTTGAAGGCACAGAGTATGCAGGAATGTTCTGTTTATGTGTAAATGGATTGTTTGCAAAAATTAGTAAATTTAGAAAAATGGACATCTTACTGATAATGGATGGCTACACCATTTCTATCATCATTATTGGTAGGACCCTCAGGAAACTGACCAGCCTACACTGGTCTGATTATCCCCAGAGTCTAGTTGAAGGATTTGGAGATAATATAACTCACAGATTGAGAGAATATTGACTGTTGGGAACAGAGAGCTCTCTCAAGTTACCTTCCCAGATACAAAGACAATAAGCTGCAAAATAACACAACAAACAAAATCCCTTTAATAAAAAATATTTCCTCAACTTTGTTCATAGTGACCTTTTTTGGTTGTTTCATTCCCCTTCCCTGCATCAAGCTTCTTATGTAAGAGAAAAATTAGTTCAATATTGGCCTATAGGCAACATCAAATTAAGTAGAGAGAAACTTAAATAAATTCCACTGAAATCAGGGACAAGGCAAGGCTGCTCACTCTCTCTGTATCTCTTCAACATAGTATTTGAAGTCCTAGCTAGAGCAATAAGCTAACTAAAAGAGATCAAAGGGGTACAAATTAGAAAAGAAGTCAAAGTATTACTATTTGCAGATGATACAATTGTATACATGAGTAACCCCAAAATTCTACCTGGGAACTCCTCCAGCTGGTAAACACCTTCATCAAAGTGGCTAGATAAAAAATTAGCTAAAAAAAGAGTAGCCCTCCTATATACAAAAGAGAAACAGGCTGAGAAAGAAATTAGGGAAACAATAGCTTTCACTATAGCCACAAAAAACCAAAGTATCTTGCTGTAACTCTAAGCAAGAAAGTGAAAGACTTGTATAAAAAAAATTCAAGTCTCTGAAGAGAGAAACTGAAGAAGATATCAGAACATGGAAAAATCTCTCGTGCTCATGGCTCTGTAGGATTAACATAGCAAAAAATGGCGACCCCATCAAAAGCAATTTACAGATTCATTGCAATTCCCATCAAAATACCATTATTTAAATTATTTAAAGAACTTGAAAGAACAATTCTCAACTTCATATGGAAAAACAAAAAAACCCAGAATATCTGAGGCGGGCCTGTACAATAAATGCTCTTCTGGAGGTATCTCCATCCCTGATCTCAAGCTGTACGATAGAGCAACAGTAAAAAACAAAACAAAACAAAACAAAAAAACTGCATGGTACTTGCATAGAAACAGACTGGTGGACAATGGAATCAAATTGAAGACTCAGAAACAAACCTACACACCTATGGACACTTGATTTATGACAAAGAAGCTGAAACCATACAATGGAAAAAAGATAGCATCTTCAAAAAATGGTGCTGTTGTTCACATGTAGAAAAATACAAATAGACCCATAGCTATCACCATGTGCAAAGTTAAAGTCCAAGTGGGTCAAAGACCTTAACATAAAACCAGATATACTAAATCAGTTGGAAGAAAAAGTGGGGAAGAACGTATTGGCACAGGAGGCAACTTCCTGAATAGAACACCATCAGCTCAGCCGCTAAGATTAACAATTAATAAATGAGACCTCATGAAACTGAAAAGCTTCTGTAAAGCAAAGGACACTGCCAACAGAACAAAAGGACAGCCTACAGACTCAAAAACGATCTTTACCAACTCTACATCTGGCAGACAGCTAATATCTAGAATATATATAATATATATTTATATATATAATATATAAATATATATTATATATATATATATAAAATGAACTCAAGAAATTAAACACCAACAGACCAAACAGTCTAATGAAAAATGGGGTAGAGAGATAAACAGAGAATTCTCAACAGAGGACTGTCGAATGGCAGAGAAACACTTAAAGAAATGCTCCACATCCTTAGCCATCAAGGACTCTCAGATTCCATCTTACAACTGTCAGAATGGCTAAAACAAAAAACTCAAGTGGCAACACACGCTGGAGAGGATCTGGAGAAAGGGGAACCCTCCTCCATTCCAGGTGGGAGTACAAACTTGTACAAGCACTTTGGAAATCAATCTGTCGCTTTCTCAGTAATAGTGCTACCTCAAGATCCAGCTCTACTACTCCTGGGTATATATCTGAAAATGTTCCACCATTCACGAAGGACATCTGCTCAACTATGCTCATAGAAACTATTCGTAAAAGCCAGAATCTGGAAAAAAACCTAGATGTCCCTTAAAGGAAGAATGGATACAGAAATTGTGGCACATTTACACAATGGAATACTAATCAGCAATTATGAATAAAGAAATCATGAAATTTGCAGGCAAATGGATGGAACTAGAGAAGATCATTCTGAGTGAGATAAACCAGAACCAGAAAAACACACATGGTATACTCACTTATAAGCGGCTATTAGCCTTATAATATAGGATAATGATATTAAAATTTACAGACCTAAAGAAGCTGAAGAACAAGGAGGACCTTAGAGAGGATGCTTAAATCTCATTAAGAATGGCAAACAAATTCTGGCTGTATGAATAAGGCTGTTATGAACATGGTTGAGCAAATATCCTTGTTGTACAGTTGAGCATCTTTTGGATATATGCTGAGGAATGGTATGTTGGATCTTGAAACAACACTATTCCTTATTTTCTGAGAAAATTCCAGATTGATTTCCAAAGTGGTTGTAAAGGTTACATTCCCACAAGCAATGGAGGAAGGTTTCCCTTTCTCCATAACCTCTCCAGCATGTTATCCTTGAGATTCTCTGTCATTTGATATTCCGCTGTTAAGAATTCTATGCTTAACTCTGTATCCCTTATTTTTTATTGGAAACTTTTTTTACATTTCTTTTTAAAATTTTTCATTAATTACAGTGTATTCATGTCTTATCCCACATGTAGCTCCCTTCCTCTTCCCCTCCCAATCCCATCCTCCCTTGCTCTTTTCCACCTATGCCCCTCCCTCAGTCCACTGATAGGGGAGGTCCTCCTCCCCTTCCATCTGACCCTAGCTTATGAGCACTCATCAGAACTGGCTGCATTGTCCTCCACTGTGGCCTAGCAAGACTGCTCTCCGATCAGGGGGAAGCGGTAAAAGAACCAACCACTCAGTTCATGTCAGAGACAGTCCTTGTTCCCCTTACTAGGGAAACCCACTTGGACACTGAACTGCCATGGGCTACATCTGTGCAGATTATCTCCGTGAATGATCCTAGGTTGGAGTATCAGTCTCAGAAAACACCCCATGTCCAGATTTTTTGGTTCTGCTGCCCTCTTTGTGGAGCTCCTGTCCCCTGAAGTTTTTTTTTTTTATTCTTTGAATTGTTTTGTTTCTAATTTATTTATTTATTTTTAATATTTTTATTTTAATTTTTATTAATTACACTTTTTTCACTTTGTATCCCCCTGTAGCTCCCTCTCTCCTCTCCTCCCAATTCCACCCTCCCTCCCCTTTCTCCACCCATATCCCTCCCCAAATCCACTGACGGGGGAGGTCCTCCTCCCCTTCCTTTTGATCTTAGTCTATCAGGTCTCATCAGGACTGGCTGCATTGCCTTCCTCTGTGGCCTGGTAAGGTTGTTCCCCCCTCAGTGGGAGGTGATCAAAGAGCAGGCCAATCAGCTCATGTCAGAGACAGTCCCTGTTCCCATTTCTATGGAACCCAGTTGGACACTGAACTGCTATGGGCTACATCTGTCCAGGGGTTCTAGGTTATCTCCATGAATGGTCCTTGGTTGGAGTATCAGTCTCAGAAAAGAACCGTGTGCCCAGAATTTTTGGTTCTGTTGCTCTTCTTGTGGAGCTCCTGACCTCTCCAGGTCTTACTATTTCCCTCTTCTTTCATAAGATTCTCTGCACTCTGCCCAAAGGTTGGCCATAAGTCTCAGCATCTGCTTTGATACCCCTTCAGGTATTTCTATCTCTCTTTCTTTTATAGATTCCCTGCACTCTGCCCAAAGTTTGGCTATGAGTCTCAGCATCTGCTTTGATACCCTGCAGGGTAGAGTCTTTCAGAGGCCCTCTGTGGTAGGTTCCTGTCCTGTTTCTCCCTCTTCTAATGTCCATCCTTTTTGCCTTTCTGAACGAGGATTGAGCATCTTACCCAGAGTCCTCCTTCTTGATTAGCTTCTTTAGGTGTACAGATTTTAATATGTTTATCCTATATTGTATGTCTGGTATCCAGTAAGGAGTGAGTATATACCATGTGTGTCTTTCTGCTTTTGAAATACTTCACTCAGGATGATCTTTTCTAGTTTCCACTATTTGCCTGCAAATTTCATGATTTCCTTGTTTGTAATTGCTGAGTAGTATTCCATTGTGTAAATGTACCACAGTTTCTGTATCCATTCCTCTGTTGAGGGACAACTGTGGTATTTCCAGGTTCTGGCTATTACAAATCAAGCTGCTATGAACATGGTTGAGCAAATATCCTTGTTGTATACCAAACAAGTCAAAGACTTGTATGAAAAAACTTTCTAGTCTCTGAAGAAATAAACAGAAGAAGATAGCAGATGGGATGATCTCCCATGTGCATTGTTTGGCAGGATTAACATAGTAAAAATGGCCATCTTACCAAAAGCAATCTACAGATTCAATGCAATTCCCATCAAATTACCAACACAATTCTTTACAGACCTTGAAAGAAAAATTCTCAACTTCATATGGAATAACAAGAAACCCAGAATTGCTAAAACAATGCTGTACAATAAAAGATTCTCTGGAGTTATCTTCACCTCTGATCTCAAGTAACAGTAAAAACTGCATCCATTCTTCAGTTGAGGGGCATCTGGGCTGTTTCCAGCTTCTGGCTATTACAAATAAAGCTGCTACAAACATGGTTGAGCAAATGTCCTTATTGTGTACTTGAGCCTCTTTTAGATATATGCCTAGGAGTGGTATGGCTGGATCTTGAGGAAACACTATTCCTAGTTGTCTGAGAAAGGGCCAGATTGATTTCCAGAGTGGTTGTACAAGTTTACATTCCCACCAGCAGTGGAGAAGGGTTCCCCTTTCTCCACAACCTCTCCAGCATGTGTTGTCACCTGAGTTTTTTATCTTGGCCATTCTGATGGGTGTAAGGTGAAATCTCAGGGTTGTTTTGATTTGCATTTCCCTAATGGCTAATGAGGTTGAGCATTTCTTTAAGTGCTTCTCTGCCATTCGATATTCCTCTACAGAGAGTTCTCTGTTTAGCTCTGTTCCCCGTTTTTTAAGTGGATTACTTGGTTTGCTGCTTTTCAGCTTGTTTAGTTCTTTATATATACTGGATATGAGAATGGATGCAGAAATTGTGGTACATCTATACAATGGAGTATTAGTCAGCAATGAAAAATAAGGAAATCATGAAATTTGCAGGCAAATGATGGGGCCTGGAAAGAATCATCCTGAGTGAGTTGTCCCAGAAGCAAAAAGACACACACGGTATATACGCACTCATATAGACATACAACATAGGATAAACCCACTAAAATCTGTATATCTAAAGAAACTAAGCAAGAGAGAGGACCCTAACTAAAACGCTCAATCCCTATCCTGAAAGGCAAAGAGGATGGACATCAGAAGAAGAAGAAAACAGGAAACAACCTAGGAACCTGCTACAGAGGGCCTCTAAAAGCCAGAAGAAGAAAACAGGAAACAACCTAGGAACCTGCCACAGAGGGCCTCTAAAAGCCTCTGCCCTGCAGACTATCAATGCAGATGCTGAGCTTGATGGCCAACTGTCGTGCAGAGTGAATGGAATTTTATGTAAGAAGTGGGAAATAGTAAGAGCTGGAGAGGACAGGAAGGAACTCTTCAAGGAGAGCAACAGAACAAGAAAATTTGAACACAGGGAACTTCCCAGAGACTCATACTCCAACCAAGGACTATTCATGGAGATAACCTAGAACCCCTGCACAGATGTAGCCCATGGCAGTTCAGTGTCCAAGTGGGTTACATAGTAATGGGAAGAGGGACTGCCTCTGACATAATCTGATTGGCCTGCTCTTTGATAACCTCCCCCTGATGGGGGAGCAGCCTTACCAGGCCACAAAAGATGACAATGCAGCCACTTCTGATGAGACTGATAGACTAAGATCAGAAAGAAAGAGAGGAGGACCTCCCCTATCAGTGGACTTGGGGAGGGGCATTCATGCAGAAAGAGGAGGGAGGGTGGGATGGGGAGGGGAGGAGGGAGGGGCTTATGAGGGGATACAAAATGAATGAAGTGTAATTAATAAAGTTAAATAAAAAATAAAAAACAGTAAAAACTGCATGGTACTGTCAAGAAACTGACTGCTGGATCAATGGAATTGAATAGAAGACCCTGAAATAAACACACATACTTGTGGACTGATTTTGAACAAAGATGCCAAAACCATACAATGGAAAAATGATAGCATCTTCAACAAATGGTGTGAGTCTACCTGGATGTCTACATGCAGAAAATGAAAATATATCCATACTTATCACCCTGCACAAAACTAAACTCCAAGTGGATCAAAGACCTCAATATAAAACCAGACACACTAATCCTGTTAGAAGAAAAAGTGGGGAAAACCTTTGAACTTACTGTCATACGAGACAACTTCCTGAACAGAACACCAACAGCACAGGCTCTAAGAGCAACATTCAATACATGGGACCCCATGAAACTGAAAAGCTTCTGTAAAGCAAAGGACACTGTCAGCAGAACAAAACAACTGCCTACAGATTGGGAAAGGATCTTCACCCACCCTATATCTGACAGAGGATTAATATCCAGAATATATAAAGAACTCAAGAAGTTAAACAGCAACAAATCAAGTAATCCAATTAAAAAATGATGTACAGAGAGTGGTTAGGACTTTGAGTAGATGATAGAGGGGGCTACAGCAGGAAAACAAAGTGAATAAATTGTAATAATAAATAAATACATACATAAATAAACAAAATGTAAAAAAAAGAAATAACAACAACAACAAAAAAGAATGGCGAACAGTATAGACACCAGAAGTGGTGGAAGAGGGGACAGGATGGGAGCCTAACATAGAGGTCCTCTGAGAGACTCCACTCAGCAAGGGATTGAAGCAGATGCAGAGAGTCACAGCTAAATTTTGGGCAGAGCACAGGGAGTCTTATGGAAAAAGGGGGTAAGAGGGGTAAAAGGATCCAGAGGGGATAGGAGCTCCACAAGAGAATCAACAAAGTAAAAAAATATGGGCCCAGGGTGTCCTGCAGAGACATGCACCAACCAAGGACTATGCATGGAGAGGACCTAGACTCCCTGCTCAGAAGTAGCCTATAGGCAGCTCAGTCTTCTTGTGGGTGCCTCAGTAAGGGGAGCAGGGAATGTCTCTGACATGTGATGTCTCTGACATGAACTTGGTTGTCTGCTCTTTGATCACTGGCCCCTGGCAATGGGACCTTGCCAGGCCACAAAGGACAAGGATCCAGACAGTCCTGATGAGACTTGTTAAGCTAGGGTCAGTTGGCAGGGGAGGGGACTCCTCTGTTCAGTGGACTATGGGAAGGGGTTAAGGAAAAAGAAGCAGGGAGTGTGGAACTGGGAGATCAGGGAGGGGATTACAATCGATATATAACATGTAAAAAATAAAATAAAATAATAGAGAGAGAGAGAAAAGGAGGGTTAGTAAAAGAGGTTGGAACAAATTTTAGATTATTAATCTTTTCCTAACATGAACCTTCACACATAAACTTGCCAACTGTTCAAAGAGGTGAACTCACCAGGAGCTGTGGCTGGATGAATCATAAATAATACTTACCTTTATAGCAAGAAACAGCAAGAATGAGTAAGAGGAAACACAGGCTCAGCCTCATGGTGCTCAGTTTGCTTTCAGACTTAGCAAATATGATTAAATGGACTCTACCAGAACCTGTGGAGACCAGGGATATTTATACATGGTGAGGCTTACAGGTCCTGCCCTCAAGCAAATGAGCTCAGAAAGCCTGTGTAGGCCCTCCTTCTGTGTCACTGAGGGCTGATCCTCTCATCTCCCTCCATCCTGTTGGGCTCTACCCCAGAAGAATAACCTCATGGTATCATTACTCTTCCTTCAGGTGACTTTCACATTAACCAGGAAGCAATCTGTGATGTTTCAGTTTACCTTTGAGCTTTTGATTATTGCGCTTGATTTCTCTCCTGCTCAACAGGCACAAGTGGCTTCTGACATCAGGATGACCTTCTCTAGGGTATAGAACCTCCAAATACCAGCCCTGGAAATGGGAGTTTTGCAATTGGACTCTGCCATCACTCATACAAATCCCAGCATAGAACTACATCAAAAAATCAGGAAGATCTGAAGAAACAGCTGCAACACACTGGAAACAAATAGCAAAATACACTCCAAATTAGTTAAAGAAGGAAACATTGGATAAGAGAAAGTAAAAATTATAGAGCATAAAGCATAGAAAACACCAATGAAACAAAGACACAGCTCTAAAAAACTAAACCAGAGAAATACATATGTAGACTCACACAGAGAAAAAATGAAAAAAAAAATCTGAAAGAAACTATGGAACAAAACGGGAGCCATTACCAGTTATACCATTGATGAAAATAAAGCAAAAAGGCCTGGCTTGTGTCATTATGATAAACTTCATGTCAACAAATGTCATAATCCAAATGCAGAAACCATTTATGAATATATATATATATATATATATATTATCAATATAGAATCATGAAGAATTTTAAAAAAATTGAATAGACAACAATGTGTGATTGGAGCGTATATCTAACAAAAATTCCTAACAATGAATAATAAGTCCATAAGAAAATGGCTTTACTATTGAATTCTACCAAACATTTGCATAATTAAGATTATTGTTATTTTTTTGCAAAACTTCACTTTAGGTAATTGATCCTTGTTGGTATAATGTTCTTTGGAATGTATACACCTTACCCTTGTTCATTCAATGCTGATTTCTCCCCCCCACTCTTTGGTTTCAATCCGGATACTGCATTGTGATACTTATTCTAAGCATCCTGTATCAACTGTGTGTAAACAGGACAAAATAAAGCAACTAGCTACAATGTTGTGCAATGGGAGGAGCCAGAGGACAAGAAAGAGAGGAGGAGCCAGAGGGCAGGAAATGAGTGGGAAGAGAAAGGGCAAGAGGAGAGCTAAGAGAGGAGCAGAGCTGGAGGAGAGATCTTAGAACTACGTGGAGATGGACTGGACATAATATATCATTAAAAGCACGTATAATGTTGGAAATCTAAATGGTAGGAAACTATGAGGGCTTGGAGGTTTAGGATGGAGTAACTATTGCCCAGCATTGTGTTCTAGGTTAACTAAATAAACCCAGTCTCTGTGTGGTGATTTGGGTATACAGCTGTTTAGGACTAACAGCAGCATTAACAGAAGATAAATCAATAGAAAATATTAATCACCGATTACAACAGATTCTCAAATATTCTCCGAGGTCAGCATTTCTCTAATCCAAAATAACACAAAGCTTCCACTCACATGCACACACAGATGAAACCCACAAAACTCCAGTATCCTCGATGAACATTGTTGTAAAAATACTCATCAAAATTTCAGTGGGGAATCCAAGATGGCAGCGACCAGCACGCATAGTATCTGAGGGGTAGAGGATCTGAAACTCTGAAATTGGTGAGTGGAATTGCAGCTGAAGCCAGAACATCAACATTGAGGCATCCTGCCTGAGAGGGGACAACCCATGAGCTGAGACCATTTGGATCCAGGTCATCCTCGGACTTCTCAGGGGACTGAGAGGGGTGAATATTCAATCCCCCTGCACTTCTCCTTGTCCAGCCTCCCTCCTCAGTGGAGGCAGCCCACAGTGCCAGCTGCTCCTAGCACGGAACTTCGTGCTCGGTGCTCGGTATCTGAGACAGAGAAGGTGAGCCTCCCAGTTCCTGATGGCGGTCTGCCAGCTATACCGGCCTTCTGGTCCTGTGCCCGTGAGCAGCTCTATGGGCTCCCCAGGGCCTCCCACCAGGCATCTGTACAGGCCTCCCAGTTCTGCGGCTGTGGCTGGACTCCCAGTGGGCCGCTATACCATCCTCTCAGTTCTGCGGCTGCAGCACCAATGAGCTGACACATCTTCTACACTTGCATTTGCCCTGGCAGGCCCAAATCTCAGAGTAGAGAACACAGTGAATCCCTGTGCTTTCCAATTAGGTCTGCCAGAGAGTGAGTGCGCCTTCAAGTGAGTGCATGCAGAGCAGATCCAACATCCTTAGTCATCAGGGAAATGCAAATCAAAACAACCCTGATATTTCACCTTACATCCATCAGAATGGCTAAACTCATGTGACAACACATGCTGAAGAGGATGTGGAGAAAGGGGAACTTTCTTCCACTGCTGGTGGGGATGTAAACTTGTACAACCATTTTAGAAATCAATCTGGCACTTTCTTAGACAATTAAGAATAGTGCTTCCTCAAGATCCAGCTATATCACTCCTAGGCATATATCCAAACTATGCTCAAGTATACAACAAGGACATTTACTCAACCATATTTGTAGCAGCTTTGTTTGTAATGGCCAGAATATAGGAACAACACAGTTGTCCCTCAACAAAGGAATGGATACAGAAACTGTGGTACATTTACACAATGGAATACTACTCAGCAATTACAAGGAAATCATGAAATTTGCACGCAAATAGTGGGAACTAGAAAAGATCATCCTGAGTGAGGTATCCCAAAAGCAGAAAGACATACATGGAATATACGCACTCATATGGATACTAGTCATATAATATAGGATAAACATTAAAATCTGTACACCTAAAGAAGATAATCAAGAAGGAGGACTCTGGGTAAGGCGCTCAATCCTCATTCAGAAAGGCAGAGGATGGACATTAGAAGAGGGAGAAAATAAGGAACAGGACAGGAGCCTACCACAGAGGGCCTCTGAAAAACTCTACCCTGCAGGGTATCAAAGCAGATGCTGAGACTCATAGCCAAACTTTTGGTAGAGTGCACAGAATCTTATGGATAGAAATACCTGGAGGGGACAGGAGCTCCATAAGGCGAGCAACAGAACCAAAATATCTGGACACAGGGTTGTTTTCTGAGACTGATACTCCAACCTAAGACCATTCATGGAGATAACCTGCACAGATGTAGCCCAAGGCAGTTCAGTGTCCAAGTGGGTTTCCCTAGTAAGGGGAATAGGGACTGTCTCTGACATGAACTGAGTGGTTGGTTCTTTTACTGCCTCCCCCTGATCAGGGAGCAGCCTTGCCAGGCCACAGTGGAGGACAATGCAGCCAGTTCTGATGAGTGTTCATAAGCTAGGGTCAGATGGAAGGGGAGGAGGACCTCCCCTATCAGTGGACTTGGAGAGGGGCATGGGAGGAGATGAGGGAAGAGGATGGGATTGGGAGGGAATGAGAGAGAGAGAGAGCAACAGCTGAGATACAAAGTGAATAAACTGTAATTAATATAATAAATAAAATAAAATTTCAGCAAACAAAATCCAAGAGCACACTGGAAAGATTCATTGTTGTCAAAGCTGTTTCAAGAAGCACACAATATATGCAGATCACTAGGCATGATATGCTACATCAGTATAACGAAGAAGAAACCCCCCTTAACCATCCTACTACATGCAGAGAGGGCATCATTTAAAGCTTAAGAACACTTTTGGGCTGGCAAAATAGTTCATTGAAGAAAGAAGCTTGCCACCAAGCCTGATGACCTGAGTTTTCTTTCTTTTTTATTTTAAATAATTTTTATTTATTTATTTTATTAATCACAGGTTATTTACTTTGTATCCCAGCTGTATCCTGCTCCCTCATTCCCTCCAAATCCTACCTTTCCTCTCTTATCTCCTCCCTGCCCCTTTCCAAGTCCACTGATAGGGGAGGTCCTCCTCCCCTTCCATTTGACCCTAGCTTATCAGGTATCTTCAGGACTGGCTGCAAGGTCCTCCTCTGTGGCCTAGCAAGGCTGTTCCTTCCTCGGGGGAGATGGAGGGGATGTCAAAGAGCCAACCATTGAGTTCATGTCAGAAATAGTCCCTGTTCCCCTTACTACTGAGTTTTCATGGCTGTGATCCACATGGGATCACAGTGAAAGGAGAGAACTGTCTCCCACTGATTGTCCTCTGACCTTTACATGCTTACATGACACATGTGTGCCCTCACATACACAAGTGCATAAATAATGTCATACTAATTTTTAGATTAACAGTTCTTTATTATAAAACATGGAGTGAGCTTGCATTAAAAAAATGTAGCTCATAATGAAAAGACTGCTTATAATAAGGCAAAGACAAACATCTTCGTGAAGGAGGAATAGTTGAAAGCTTTCCTGTCACATCCTGTAATGAATGGTGTCCACTTTCTGTGTTTACTGAACGTGTGGGTGTCCTACATACAGCAAGCATACATAGAAAAGACACAGGCAGCCATACTGGAAAGAGGACAGAACACTGTCAGTGTCTGAAGATGCCACATCTTATATGTAGACACAAAGATTTTTTATTAAATTTTTATTTTTTATATTAATTACAGTTTATTTATTTTGTATCCCAGCTGTAGCCCCCTCCCTCATTCTCTTCCAATCCCACCCTCCCTCTCTCCTCTCCTCACTGCCCTTCTCTAAGTCCACTGATAGGTGAGGTACTCCTCTCTTTCCATCTGACTCTAGCTTATCAGGTCTCACCAGGACTGAGTGCAATCTCCTCCTCTGTGGCCTAGCTAAGCTGCTCCTTCTATGGGGGGCTGGGGAGGTCGAAGAGCTAGCCGCAGAGCTTATGCCAGAGACAGTTCCTGTTCCCCTTTCTAGGGAAGCCACTTGGGTACTGAGCTGCCATGGGCTACATCCGAGCAGGGGT